AAACTCAGTTCAAATAATCGTGTGGACAGGTGCAAGGCTGGCATTTTGACCTTATCTGCTTAGATCTCTGTATTGTCTTTATCCATTTGTGTATTTGGGGAAAAAAACCCAAACCAAACAAACAAAACCAGCTCCATTGGCTTGGACTCCTAACAACCCACTGTGTGTTAGAACATGCTCTGTAGGGCTTTCAATGATGTGTTTTCACAAATAGATCATCTGGCTTCCCCTCCAGCCTCCATTCCCCAAGGTACCTTTGGATGGACTTGATCTTTCCACCTTTTGGTTAGCAAGTAAAAATGTTAAGTAATTGCACAGTCCATGGATTCCAACTCCTGGTAACCCTGTAGGACAGAGAAGAGCATCTCTAGGGTTTCGAAGGCTGTAATCTTTTTTTACCTGTGGCCGGTGAGCTTGAACCATGCATTGGGCACTTAAACACTGTGTCATGAGCGCTCCCAACATTTGTATATGTGGTTGTTGTGTCCCATCAGGTCGGAACCAGTGCATAGCTGATCCTCTAGTGAGTTTTCAGAGGCAGTCATTTGCCTGGGAGGAGTTTGTCCATCTTTCTCCTGCAGAGCAGCTGGTGGATTCAAACTGTGTATCTTTGTATTAGCAGCAGAATTCCTTACTGTTACGCTACCACAGCGGTTGTTAATTGTTGGGGTTGGTGGTTAATTATACACTGATATTTAACATGTTTACCTAATTTTTCTCACCTGTAGTTCTGTTTGCTGCAGGCCAATCAGGTGTGCATCTACCACAGATTGTAATTTAACTTTAAATTTTTTTTCTGCTTTGTGTTTACAGTGTATATCAGGGATCTGCATTAAGAAAATACTGAGGTTAATTTATTATATTAATTTTTTAAATATTTTAGTGAAGGTTTACAAGTCATGTTGGGTTTTTCTTATGATACGTAGATATTTTGTTTTACAGCATTAGTTTCCATTGATTAATATAATTAATTAATGGCAGTACGTAAACTCTGTTTTGTGCTGTTTAATGAGGCTGCATTTTGTAATTTGTAAAAGTAATTAAAATCTTAGGTTCATTCTATTAACATTCAGAAGGTGAAGAGTGGAAGAGTTATTTTCAGAAAGTTGGAAATGGGCCGTTAAGTGGTGAGACTTTGTGGATGAGAGAGCACTTTGTACCGAGATCCAGGGCACATCCAGCGGCTTTTGCAGTTGACAGATGAGAAAACCGACCCTCCTGAAGTTAAGAAACTTGGGCTTATGACACGCAGAAAAGAAATCCCTACAACCCAATAGGGGGTGGCCTCTTTCTGCAAGTGTTGGTACCTTTTTCAGCTCTTAGTGGTTGCCAGGGATTGTGCTCTTTTCGTCCTCACTTCACAAATGGGGAAACCGAGGCTCAGAGATGTTTAGTAACTTGCCTAGGGTCACACAGCTGTTGAATCACAGAGTTGAGGTTTTTCTATGTAAGTATGGATTCAAAATCCTATGAAATATCACACTTCATTAAATGGACTGTTTTTAGGAAGCAGTTTTCTTAAAAAACAAGTTCAACATTGAAAGGTATTTCTCCCTCCCCCCCATCCCAATGAATTTGAGCATGTTTGGGGTCTGGAGCAGAGGAATTATTTTCTTTTACCTGCATATTCAATTCAGTCTCAGAAAGAACCCCTTACATGTCTACTTAAGACAAATGATGATGCTGGGTAAATAGTAAAAATGGTTTTGATCTTACAAAATTTACTATCTGTGTAACTTTTGGGACCAAAAACAAATTGTGGGCTGGTAAATTTTAGTGCTTATTTACAGATTTTATTTCCTTTGGTTCCACAAATTTTTACATACAGAGAGGACATCATGGTCAGATTTTAAGGCCCATTGGCAGCAGAAAATAACCAACATGAATCAAAGACCCCCCAGTAACTACCACCCTGGTGTAGTCTGTTGACTTGAAAAAATGAATGACTGGCGAGGTCTAACAGACAATAGGAGGTTCTTGAGGAAGAGAAGTCTGTTTACTCTTTGATTTGAAAAACAAAACTGTAAAAACTCATTTAAGTGTAACATTTTCGGTGCCTTAATACATCTTGATTTTTCAGTTAGTAGCTCTTAACAGCAATATATTATTGCATTTTACCATCTCGTACATTGCAGATGTGAAATTTTTTATTTTTTTTTTTTAAGCTGAAGGTTGTCATAACCCTGTTTGGGCAAGTCTGTCGGTGCCATTTTTCCAGCATGGTGTGCTAACTTCATGTCTCTTGTGGCACATTTTGGTAATTTTTACAATATTTAAAATCCTTTATAATACTATTTTCTATACACTTAGTAGACGTCAGTGCAGTGCCAGTTTAAAGAACAAGGTGTGCTTGACCCAGTTCATGGTATTTTTCACTCGTTTCCCATGCATCTGTAAGTTGAAAAATGAATAAGGAAGACTGAAGAAGAATCTAGGCATTTGATTTGTGGTGCTGGAGAAGAGTATTAAATACAGTCTTCACTGCCCAAAGAACAAAAAGTTTGTCTTGGAGGAAGTTCAATCAGAGTGCTCCTTAATGACAAGGATGGTGAGACTTTGCCTCATGTACTTTGGGCACGTGGTCAGAAAGGTTAGCCCTTGGAAAAAGACATCATCCTGGGAGAAAGAGAAGACCCTTAATGAGGTGGTTTAATAGAGTAACTACAAGGATGTGCTTGAACATGAAGGAGACTGTGAGAATGTTGTGGAAAGGGGCAAGGCCAGGTCTGTTGTTCATAAGGTCTCTGTGAGTCATCGTCAACTTGCTGACATCTAGCAAGTGTAAGGCAATATTTATATGCATTAGAAAATGAAAAAAGACATTTGTGTGACTTGGTTTGTGGAGATACTCAGAGTATTGATGTGTTTGGGAATGGAGCCCAGCATTTCTCTGAGATACGCCTATGTATTTTTTGTATGCTGTCATGTATCAGTGTCTATTGACCATCTGTTAGGAAGTAAAGGAGCCCAGGTGGCATAGTAGGTCATGGTTGGATTGTTAACCTGAAAGTCAGCAGTTTGAATTCCTTGCCTGCTCCTCTGGGGAAACTTGAGCTTTGGAAGCCTGATGAAGAGTTTGAAATCAATTCACACAGTGTATTTGGTTTTGTCTCTTTGTGAGGAGATAGAGCATGGACTACTTTGTTCACTATTTCTTCATCTACCTTCTTACATATTTTATTATTGCATGTGTCCTTTGTAGTCTCTACCTTCCCAGAGAAGACCCTCAATGAGATGGATTGGCACAGTGACGGCACAATGGCCTTGAGCGTCTCGGAGCTTATGGGGTTGGCACAGGATAGAGCAAGGCTGTGTTCTTTTGTTCATGGGGTCACTATGAGTCATAGTCTACTTGATGACACTTAACAATTCTTGTTGTTGTTGTTGTGTGCCATCAAGTTGGAACCGACACATTACTGACCCTACAGGCAATAAATTGGAGAAGATTGTCCATCTTCCTGTTGAGGAGTAGCTGGTAGATTTGAACTGTGTGCCTTTGGGATTGTAGCACACTTCCTTACCACTAAGCCACTAGAGTTTTTATCCATTGTATTTATTTTTTCAATTTTATTTTATTCTTTTTTGTGTGTACTGTCAAATTGGATCTGACTGGTACAAGAGGAGATTGTCCCTCATTCTCTAGCAGAGCATCTGGTGGATTTGAACTGCCTATCTCTGGGATTGCAGTACAGTTTCTTGCCACTAGGCCACCAGAGCTCCCTTACCCATTGTGAAATATAATTTCTTAAGAAATTACCATGCTTCCAAATTCACTTCTTTATTCCAACTTTGTTTTTTATTTCAAACAGTGGAAAACTGAGAAAATGATAGTATCTTAGCTTTTTTTTGTCATGCTTTCTGGTAGACAATTTATTTTAATCTTTACCACATCCCTATGATAGGAGAAGAGAAAGTTAAGTGAGATTGTACAAGAGTCAGAGAGCTTATTATCAGCAGAGCTGGGACCAATGCAAGGGCCTCTTGTCTGTGCTGGTCTTATGCTGCTACTTTATCCTTTGGCAAACTCAAGACAGACTTATCATCTCATAGCACTGTGACCCAACAGGCTCGGATTTTATCCTTGGCTATCAAGACTTTGCAACACTAAAACAAATGAAATTTGTCTTACTTTTCAATTGAGATGTCACTGAGGCTTTTAACTAATCTTTGAAGCTGATAAGCATGCTTAATTCTATTCCTCTCTGGCTAGAAAACGTTGGCTTTCTCTTTGTAATGATTTTGTTATGAAGGATGAACATTTGCTGATAAAAGTATTTGTTAACATGTTCAAATACCCTAAGAATGCTGGAGCAGGACCTTTTTTCTTATTTCTGCCTTTATTTCCCCCTATCTTCTGTGGAGCAGTATGTAAGTTGATCTTGTACTGGAGGAAGATGAGCAGTCTCCTCCTGTGCTGTTTAGAGCCCCTGAAAACTTGGTGGAGGGTCAGCTGTGAGTTGGTTCTGAGTCCACGGCAATGAATTTTGAGTGTGTTGGAAGAAGAAGGGCAGGCTGCCTGCTCAGGGAAGTCATGGTGAAAGAGTTCGCCAAGCTCACCCTTTACCAACCGCTCTTTACGTATGTCTTTAGCTGTTTACCTGTGTTGACACCGCTGGTTTATATGAAAACCAGCACCTTCCCATTTGGTGGGAAGAATGAGAACAGCACTGTGAAAGAGGCAAGCTTTCCTGCTTTTCCACTTGCATCTGCCCCTGAAAGTAATACTGGGCTGAGCAAGATTAGAACTTCTGACACTGACTTGCTTATCTTCACCTGCTTAACTGTTATAGATGCTCTACTTTGTAGGCTCTTGGGGTAGGGGACAGGAATATAATTTGTGAAGCCATTGATTCCTTTGTCTTCAGGCACGATGACACTGCTTGGAATGCTAATTTTCTCCAATTACTGAAGATTCCATACTTGAGTTCAGCAAATCCCATCACTATACTTGATAATGATCAAAAGAACTGACTTTTTGGACCCTTCTGTCTCTCTTTCAGGTCCAACTTCAAACTTGTGGCTGTTAATTCAAAACTGTATGCCATCGGTGGGCAGGCTGTTTCTAACGTTGAATGTTACAATCCAGAACAGGATGCGTGGAATTTTGTGGCACCTTTGCCGAATCCTCTGGCTGAGTTCTCCGCGTGTGAGTGCCAAGGGAATATTTATGTCATTGGAGGATATACTACCAGAGGTAAGTGAAGGGCCAGGTAAGTGGTACACTGTGTCTAAGCTGCGGCCACCTGGGAAGGATGGGAGAGCCAGGGAAACACTCCAGGGGATGTGATTGTGTGCATTCCACACTATACATTCATATATGTGGAAGAAGGAGAGTGTAGTGCTTGGTGCAGGAGAGCTTTTGCCGACCTGGTAAGAGCATGAAAATTGAATTGCGGGGGAGGGACGGTGAAGAAAATCTGCACGTTCTCCCTGCTTCTGAAAATCCACCTTTGTGGTTAGCCTCTGATCTTTAGAGACTGTTCTAGTCCCTCAGCTGCTCTCTGAGGTTGGGTAGATCTTTGGAGGACTGTATTATATAGTTATTCCCATCCTCTCTCAGAAACATCCCTGTTCACCAATGGAATTTCATGCTAGAGCCACCTCCACGCTGTGTGTCCCTCCTTTCTCCAGCAGATAGGTTCCATAGACACCTTTCTTCCCCTAATGAAGGAGGAGCAAGAGAAGAAATGCCAAAGGGCCTTCTCTCCTGACCAGGAGTAGGAGGTGGTTGTACTGTGTGTGACGCTGTGTACAGGGGGTATCCCACTTTTGGGGGGTATCCTGTAGTGTCAAACAAAATTCCACTGTTATCAACTTTGTTTCCATTCATGGTGACCCTCATTCCACTTTGCAAGGCTGTAAATCTACTGAGAGCAGATGACCTCGTCTTCTCCCATGGCATAGCTGGTTAGTGTTCAGTTAGCAGCCCAACTCTAGTCCTGTTTATGCCACCAGTGTGTTGAGATAGATGATGAAAGTAATTCTCACCATATCCAGATGCATCTTATGGACACTGGATTTTATGTTTATCTTAATAGCATAACATTTTGGTGAACACTTCTTATAAAACCTCTAAGCAATTGAAGTGGTAGGGAAGATGGTGGTGTATTAGTTTCCTACAATGGCATACAAATCACAAATTTGATGGCTTAAAATGACATAATATTCTATCACAGTTGTGGCGAGCACAGTCCAAAATAAGGGGTTTGCAGAGCCATGGTCCCCCTGAAGGAGTGAATCTTATTTCTTCTTCGAGTTTCTGATGGTCTCATGTACTCATTGGCCAGTTGGCACTTCGCTCCAATTTGTGCTCTCTGTGTATCATTGTCCTCTCTAATAAGGAGAATTGCCATTGGATTTAGGACCCACTTTGGTAATCCAGGACATCCTTATCCCAAGATCCTTTACTTAATTGCATCTGCAGAGTCCATTTTTGCAAATAAAGTAACATTTAGAGGCATCGGGATTTGAAAAGTAAGCCAATCTGTAAGTGAGGTGTGTCTTTTGCATTTAAGGAGACACTTTTACAAAGAAGTGCATTGGAAACAGCTGCTTTTCTCACTGATTTCTGGGCTATTCTCTTTGCCTCTCACTGGTGATTCTCCACTGAACAGAAGGTGTAATGCCAGCTCTTTCTTTACAAATAATTGAGAAAGTGGTGAGACTCATCAGCCTTTTTCTTTTCAGTGTTTAACACAGGTGGTCAGGCTACAGTGATTTAAGTTTGTGTGTGTGGATTGAGCATGTAGTTACTGTCACATTGACCATGACCCACAATAACTCTGTGTGTGTCGGAACTGTGCTCTGTAGGGTTTGGATGGACCGACTTGTCAGAGCTAGGTCTCTATCCTTTCTTCCCATGCACCTCTGTGTAGACTCAGACCTCTAACCATTTGGCCCAGGATCTCTTAAGTAAGTAATTTAGAAAACCCAGCTCATTGCCTTTGAGTTGCAGCAAACTCAACTCATAGTTGAACTTTTAGTGGTTTTTCAGAGGCTGTGGATTACACAGGAGGAGATTGTCCATCATTCTCCCATGGAACTCTGGTGGATTAGAAATGGTAGAGAGGCATGGCCTTTGGGTTGGCAGCGCAGATTTCTACCGACTACACTTGGCACCAGAAAATTCCCATGTGTGTGCATGTACGCGTTTGTTTTCTCCCAGGAAAGTAAATACTTACCTACGTACATTTCTAAGAATTTGATTCCTCCTAGATTGAGCAACATAGAACTCATCCTGTGGGCCAAAATAATGTACATATGGTCCCCAAATTTTCTTTTAACCAAGTTTTGTTAACCACTGAGGAGCATCACTGTTCCCCAAGGAGGACCCTGCTGGTAGATTTCCCAATTTTTCCATGACCCTGGCTCACCAAATGTCCTTTGGATTTGACCTGGAAAATCCTTACTTGTGTGTTTTCTAGCTTCACCGGCTACTACTAATGCACCTTCTTCACTTGGGCCACCCACTGTGATTCTGTCCCGGATTGCCCAAGCCAAAATGCTCAAGATGGGTGATGTGGATGGATGGGTGTTTGCACAGGGGGTTGAAAACTAGTTTTCTAAGATGAGAGGGCCTGGCCATTACCTGTACACCAAAGCCTTCCTCCTCCTCTTGGGGCTCTTCCCAGCGATTCCTGGTCGTTTCCTCTAACAGAAGTCATCCTAATTGTCATGAAGACAGAGTCAAGGTTTAAGGTTTGGTTCTTAGTCTGCTGCCCAAGTGAGGTGAGACTTTTAAAATTCAGCAAGGAATAGGTCATAATTTTTGCAAGAGTTATTTGATTATTTTAATTATTGGCAGCCACTGAAGAAATGAAATTCAGTAGAAAGTAATAATAACCACTAAAGAGAAGAAGGGCGATTTGTCAAACTTCAGGATCAGCTCTAAATGTGAAAATGAAGAAAACATTCAACCAACTCAAACCACCTCATCATGGTCTGAGCGGTGCTTGGGTGAGGAGAGAAAACATTTACAGAAGACCTGGAAAGACCTTCAGGCCTGGAGCTGAAAAATACATTGAAGGTTTACTAGAATAAATCCTTTATTCATGCGGTGGGGAAACAGGTTACTAAGGAGTACTTTTTGACAGATTGCTGAACAAACACCCTTGAGATAGTTATTGGAAAGAGTTTTATCACAACAACAAAGCCATACCAAACCCATGCCATCGAGCTGCATTCTAACTCATAGCAAATAGCTGTGGTAAAACAGAAATAGAGCAAATTTTAATGGCAGGTGAAAATCAGGATGACGTTTCTTAAAGCTCCAGATTACTGAAGAGCACTGATGACAGTTTGAAGACTAAGGTGCCCCTGATTTAGGCCCTGGTTTTATCAAATCACTTGCTGTGCATCTGAAAGCTGAACAATGAATAAGGATGACATTAGAAGAATTGATCTTTTTGACTATGACACATTGGAGAAGAATGCTGAATATCTGATAGACTGCAAAAAGAATAAGCAAATATATCTTAAAGAAGGTACAACTAGGGTCCACCTTAGAGGCAAAGATGTTGCCACTTCATCTCCTATACTCTGGGCATGTTGTTAGGGGGGCCATTCCTTGGAAAAATATCATGCTCAGGATGATGGAGGGTTAACAAAGGAGAGGAAGACCCTCGACAAGAGGAAGTGATACAGTGACTGTAACAATGGGCTCTTGTATATCAGAACTGATGAGGACGTCACAGGATAGGACATAGTTCAGATCTGTGTCACTTAGAATAGATAACTCAACAGCATATAACAAGTAGAGAATATTTGCCTCGAACATTCCACTGTTTTTACTTACTTACTGCTTTATTTTTGTTTGCAGATTTTGTTGCCATGTTAAAGAGCCCCTTTAAAGTCCACATCTTTATGCATTTCATTATAATACTTTGCTTTATCTTCTGAAGCTGCCCCTTGTTCTTTTGTTTTTATTTATTCTTGTCTATATGTGTATGTGATTTTTAAAAAAGTTCACAGAGAGGTTGAGTTTTCATCCACTCTTCTTTAGATTTACCTGTTTGGGATCATGGTTAAAGGCGACTCAAAATTAGAAGGTAGTGAGTTAATGAGATAGAAAATTACTCAAGAAAAGGAAGGTGAGAATTGTTTCACAACTCAAAAAATATAACCAATGTCACTGAATAATTGAAGCTTGAATTTGTGTGTGTGTGTTTATTATATGTATTCTAAACAATATCTGTGTGTGTCTGTCATTGTTATGTGCTATCTAGTCTTCTGTGACTCATAGCAACCCTGTAAACACAGTAGCTGTGAACCCTGTCCTATCCTGAGCCAGACTCATTGCCTCTAACACACCTACTGTTACCCTAGTTACTGTGTCAGTCCATCTTATTCCGGGTCTTCCTTTCCTGTGCTGTCCCTCTACCCTTCCACACATGATGTCCTTTTCCAAGGGCTGTCCCCATGGCAGCATGCCCAAAGTATGTGAAAGAGATCTTAAAAATTCTTGCTTCAGAGGAGCAACTTGGTTTCACCCTCTCCAGGGCAAACCTATTTGTCTCTTGGCAATCCATGATGTGTTCAATACTCTTTCTTCAGCGTCACAACTCAAAGGCATCAATTCTTTTCCTATCAGCCCTAGTCATCGTCCAGTACTCTGATGCATAGCAAGTAGTTATGAAGACTTATGGTCTGGATCAAGCACACCTTACTCTTTAGACTGACATTGTTGCTCTTTAGCACTCTGGAGAGGTCAGCCCTTGATGGCAGATTTCCTAATCCATTTGTCTTTTTCTTTCCTGACTGTGAATGCCAAAAATGTTGATTGTGGAGCCTAGCAAATTGAAGTTGTTAACAGTCTGTCTCTTCTTACAGTTGGCCCAGTAGTGAGAATCTTTGTCTTGATGTTGAGTTTCAATCCATATTGAAGCCTGCTGTTCTTGACCTTCTTCAGCAAGTGCTTCACTTTTTGGCAAGTGAGCTTGGGTCATCTGCAGAACACAGGTTTTTGATGAGTCTTCCTCCAGTACTGATGGCACATTCCTGCTCATAAAGCCCAGCTTCCTAAATGATCTATTCAGCATATAGATCAAAAAGGTGGAGGTAGGATGCATCCCTGATATACTCCTCTCCTGATTTTTGAACCATAGAGTATTTCCTAGCTCTGTTCTGACAACTGCTTCCTGGTGTAGATATAGGTTTTGCATGAGCACAGTCAGGTGATCTGGAATTCCCATTCTTCTCAAGGTTGTTGTTGTTGTTGTTGTTGTTATGTAGTACCATCAGGTCACCTGCAAACCTATGTACAGCATCTCTGAACCCTGCCCTGTCCTGAGCCAGTCTCACTAATTCCGACACACCAATCCCTATTGCCCCAGTTACTGTATCAGTCCATTTCACCCGGGGTCTTCCTCTCCTGCTCTGTCCTTCCACCCTTCCAAGCATGATTTTCTTCTGCAAGGACCGGTCTTTCCTGGCCATATGCCCAAAGTATGTGAGACAGAGCTTCAAAATCCTAGCCTCAAAGAAACTTTGTTTCACCCTCTCCAACCAGACCTATTTGTTTTCTTGGCAGTCCATGATATATTCAAGACTCTTCTTCAGCACCACAGTTTGAAGGCATCGATTGTTCTTCTTTCATCCTTAGTCATTATCCAACTCTCTGAAGCATAAGAAGTAATTGTGCAAAACAACTATGAGATATCATTTCACCCCAGTAAGAATAGCAGAATGTAACAGAACAGCAAGCAACAAATGCTGGCAAGATTGTGGAGAAACTGGAACCCTATTCACTGTTGGTGGAAGTGTAAAATGGTGCAGCCACTGTGGAAGGCGGTGGGCACTTTCTCAAAAAGTTGCAAATAGAGATACCATTTGACCCAGCAATTCCACTACTGGGAATATACCCCAAAGAGACCACAACTGCCACCCAAGCAGGTATATGCACACCCATGTTTATTGCAGCTTTGTTCACAATAACAAAGAGTTGGAAACAACCTAAGTGCCCATCAACAAACAAATGGATAGAGAAGCTGTGGTACATTCACACAATGGAATACTATGCTGCATTGAAAAACAAGAAACTCATGCAATATTATTCAAACTGGGTGACCCTGGAGGACATTATGCTGAGTGAAATATCTCAGTCACAAAAAGACAAATACTGCGTAGCGCCACTGTTGTAAAACAGGACTGACCTCGGGGTTGGGGGAAGACTGAGAAAGATGGGATAAATAATGTATACTGCATTAAAACAGATGAGGGAGAAAACTGTTTAAAAGGGATATGTGATTAATTATTATTGTCATGACAGGAATCCAGAATGAAGGCTGCTTGGTGGAGTGGGGCTGGGGGGAGGGATTGTAAAACCATGAAAGAATTTTTCTTTTGCTTTTCAAAGAGAAGAGTGTACTGGGGGAGGGAGAGAAATGCAACAATGAATGAATGGAAATCCAAAGTCTCTGTAAATTTTCATTAAAATGAATAATAATAATAATAATAATAATAAAAAAAGAGAAAAAAAATAATTGCAAAGACCATGGCCTGTATTAGGCACACTTTAGTCTTTAGACTGACGTCATTGCTTTTCAGTACTCTGTAGAGGTCCCTGATGGCAGATTTCCCCAGTGCAATTAGTCTTGATTTCTGGACTGCTGGTGTTAGGAGTGTAGATTGTGAATCTGAGTAAGCTGTAATTGTTAACCACTTCAGTCTCTTCTCCATCTATCATGGTACTGCCAATTGGCCCAGTGGTGAGAATCTTTGTCTTCTTGATATTGCACTTCAATTCATATTGAAGACTACACTCCTTGACCTTCTGCAGCAAGTGCTTCAAGTCTTCTTCAGTTTCAGTAAGCAAGGTTGTGACTTCTGCATAATGTAGGTTGTTGATGAGTCTACCTCCTATCCTGATGCCATGAAATCTGCAGGACAACTACTTGGCCAACTGACTGGAAGAGATCTGTATTTATTCCCATTCCAAAAAAAAGGGGGGGCCCAACTGAGTTTGGAAATTATAGAACGGTGTCACTAATACCACACACTAGCAAAATCCTACTGAAGATTATCTAGAAATGACTGGAACAGTACATTGACAGAGAACTACCAGAAATACAAGCTGTGTTTAGAAGAGGTGGTGACACGAGACAATATTGCCAATGTCGGATGGTATCAGAGGAATGTCTATCTGTGTTTCATTGGCAATGCAAAGGCATTTTACTGTGTGGATCACAACAAATTGTGGGTAACATTAAGGAGAATGGGAATCCCAGAACATTTGATTTTACTTTTGCAAAACCTATACTTGGACCAGGAAACAGTCCTCAGAACAGAGCAGGAAAACACTGCATGGTTCGAAGTCAGGAAAAGAGTGCATCAGGGATGCATCCTTGTTCTTTGTCAAGTTTAGCCACAGTTTATTATGATCCAGATAGTCAAATGCCTTTGCATAGTTAATGAAACACAGGTAGACATTCCTCTGATATTTTCTGCTTTCAATCAAGATCCATCTGATTTTGGTTATGAAGTCCCTAGTGCCACAAACTCTTCTAAATCCAGTTTGTATTTCTGGTAGTTCACAGTTGATGTACTGTTCCAGTCATTTTTGGATAATCTTCAGCAGAATTTTGCTTGTATGTGATAATAGTGGTATTGTTTTATAATATCCACACTCTGTTGGATCACTTTCTTGGAATGGGAATAAATATGGATCTCTTCCAGTCAGTTGGCCAGATTGTTGTCCTCCAGATTTCTTCACACAACCTGATGAGCACACCAAAGGCAGCGTTTATTTGCTGAAATATGTCAATTGGTATTCCATCATTTCCTGGGGCCTTGTTTTATGCCAGTTCTTCAGAGCAGCTTCAACTTCCTCCTTCATCATCATTGCTTCTTGATAATATGCTGCTTTGTGTAATTCTTCTGTGTCAGCCAATTATTTTTGGTAGTAACTCCCTTCAACTTCTTTTGATGTTTCCTGGGTCCTTCAATATTCTTCCCAAAGCATCCGTTAAGTATTACAACTCAAGGCTTGAACTTGTTCTTCAGGTTCTTCAGCTTAAGAAAAGTAAGCACAGTCATCCCTTTTGATTTTCTGACTCCAGCTCTTTGCACAATTCATTATAATACTTTGTCTTCCTGAGCTTCCCTTTGAAATCTTCTGTTCAGCTCCTTAACTTGATTTCCCGCCCCCCCTTCACTTTGGCTTTTCAGTGTTCTAGTACAATATTCAGAGTCTCATCTGACATCCATCTTTATCTTTTCTTCTTCTTTTGTCTTTGTAACGACCTTTTGCATTCTTCATGGATATATTTATATCCACATACATACATATATAATGACGCTCTGATGACTTAGGAGTAAGGAATTATGTTGCCAACACAAAGGTACACTCTTTGAATCCAACAGCTGTTCTGTGAGTCATCTCCTCTCGTGCAATTTAATGCCTCTGAAAACCCACTTGTAGGTGAACCCTGGGTGATTCTGACTTGATGGTACACAAAAACATATATTTTAGGGGCTCAAAACAAGCAGCCTGCTTGTTTCTCTATAATATTGCTTATAATTGTGTAGCTGTTGATGAGTGTATTTTTTAATGTTGACCTGGTGGTCGTATATACTGTAGAGTTGGGACTGACTCATAGCTGACCCTCCAGCAGGTTTTCAGAGGCAGTAAATCACATGGGAAGAGATTGCCCATCTTTCTTTCAGGGAGCAGTTGAATATGAACAGCCTGCCTTTGAGTTTGTAGCCCAACTCCTTATCACTAAGCCACAGAGCTTTTTCATATTGGCATGATGTTTCTCGAAGGTGTAAAGATACTAGGGAATAGGAAATGTACCCAAGTCATAGCTCCTCATTCCCCTGGCCTTCCCAGTGCTTGAGTCTCCCAAAGAGGGGACGTGCCTGGATGGGAGCCAGGTGAAAATGAATCTATATGTACCTCCTGTTAGCCATATGGAAAACTGATGTCACTTTTGCCAATCTCTGTTTTTCTGAAGTAGCTTTGCCTCTGTTTTACTGAATTTTCCTGTACAGCCAGGCTGTGAAGGGTGTTGCTTGTGTTTATGCCATTGCTTAGCTTTTTTCTTTGTTTTAGATCGGAACATGAACATTTTGCAGTACTGCCCCTCGTCTGACATTTGGACACTCTTCGAAACCTGTGATGTCCACATCCGCAAGCAGCAGATGGTATCCGTGGAGGAGACCATTTACATCGTGGGCGGGTGCCTGCATGAACTGGGACCCAACCGGAGGAACAGCCAGAGCGAGGACATGCTCACCGTGCAGTCCTACAACACCGTCACCCGGCAGTGGCTCTACCTCAAGGAGAACACATCCAAGTCAGGTCTTAACCTGACATGTGCACTCCACAACGATGGCATCTACATCATGAGCAGGGACGTGACCTTATCCACCAGCCTGGAACATCGAGTTTTCCTCAAGTACAACATCTTTTCAGATAGTTGGGAGGCATTTAGGCGTTTTCCAGCCTTTGGACATAACTTGCTGGTTTCCTCTCTTTACCTGCCTAATAAAACAGAAACGTGACTGAACTGATTTAGTATTTAAAAGAAACCCAGTTCAAGACAGAACAAACAAGCAAAACAAACTGTGCAACGTTCCATTCCAGGGAAACTGATTTCTAAAGAAGAAAATGTGGTAACTTAGGTCTTGAGTATAGTAGCTGTAAATAAGCTTACTTGAACTAATTACTTGAAAATTTCTAGATAAAAGAGACCAATGTTATTTTTGTTTTAATTGTTCTTTTAAAGAATGTGGACGCAAATCCATGATGATGTTTTCATGCAAACTCTTGGGCCAATGGCTGAAATTAATTATCACAAGTAGATTCATTGTGTCTGCTAAGTAAAAACCATTGCCTATAGTGGCATGAATGGTAATGATTATTTTAAAATCTGTTTTCTTTAGGTCACTTGAGATATTGTCATAACTGATACTTGTTTGTTTATATCAATTTATTTGATAGATATTTGCATTAAAACTGTCATTTCTTCTTCTTCCACCCAGTCACAACCACACATATTCCTAAACTGTTTAAAATGGAGTTCTGTGTTCAGATACTTTATTTTCACACTACTTATTTTAAAGGAACTTGGAATGATGGGACCCTAGAGTGAATCCTTGTAAGCATCCAGTGTTTCCTAAAATTTGCGTTAAAAACATTCTTATCCGTTATCACCTATCTCCCCCCCCCACCCATTTTGAGTGCCAGGTAAATAAATTGATAATAACCTTTTATTTAAATTATGTGGTAGATTGCTACCTGTTAGATAAGTTGCATTGCTAGTCATTCTGTATTTTTATAAAAGGATATATTATTTAAAAGGATGTGTATATATAATTTGAGCTGTTGTCTTAAATTTGAATACAAAGGGAACACCAAATGGGGAGAAAATGCCTTGACGAGTTACCTTTATTGAATATGCTTGACTTAGTTTTTATCTTAAGACTGAAAAATAACTCTCATATTTTAATCAGGCAGTGTTTTCATCTAATCTTAGCCTTTGATTTCGACTTTGCTTTTTGTGGGGTAAGGTGAGGACTTCTTGTGCTAGAGAGGAGGGAAGAGGCGCTTTGGAAGCGGCATGGCCTCTGGTGGTATTTCTGAAATTCGGTAAGGTACTAACTACTTCCTGCCTTGGTTGCTAAGTCAAATGGAACTCAACTCAAGCAGCAGTTTGCATGTTCTCAATAACTCAGTTAACAATGAATGAAGGCTCCACCAATCACGGATCATTCTTGAAGAAACATACACACATATTTGTAGAAATTTTATTTTGAAGGGAATATGTTTTCTGTAATTCTCCAATCTTTTGTAAGGGGATTGGTTAGCCAAACAGAACTTGATTCTTGTCTTATTTGCTCTTAATAATAGGCAGGACCATTCCAGTTCCAGCATGCCTCACTTTAAGAAACTCCCACAGAACAGTGAAAACTGTCATGGCAAATTCATACATTTAACAAACTTGCTGAGTGCCTCCAGGATGCCGTGCTCTTGTGCACACATGGTTAAGGCAAATTACTGGGTGGACTTCTACAGTTTATTGGAGTGGTTACATGCTTTCTTTACAACCTTGACTTCCTGATACGCTCATCATCATGTGTACTGTCATCAAGTAAATTCCAATTTACAGCAACTCTGTAACATAGAATTGCCCGTGTAGTTTCTAGGTTGTTATGTTCATGGAATCAGAGAGCTGCATCTTCCTCCTGTGTTGTGACTGCTGAGTTTGAACAGTTCACCTCTGATTGGTCAGCCTCTGAGCACTTAACCACTTGATTGGTTAGCAGCTGAGCACTTAACCACTGCACCACCAGGAGTCTTCATGCTAAAAATGAGGGTCTTCTGTATTTGCACACCTTTTCGGGAACACTTCTGGTGGATAGAATGAGGTCAACCTTTATTTTGGGGCATGAGACAGATCTTTGTGTCTTATCACCAAATTTTACCAAGCATCTCCAACACTATTTAAGGGTTTCCAAGCCATATCCATTTATTCACTAATACTTTTTATTTTTTTAATATTTTTTAATGCCTATATGTTTTTTTATTAATTTTAGTGAAATTTTACAGAGATTTAGGGTTTCCAGTCATTCATTGTTGCACTTTTCTCCCTGCTCACCTTCCCCGCCCCGAAATCACTCTTCTCCTTAAAAAGAAAAGCTCTTTCATTGTTATGTAACCCCTCCCCCCAAGTTTACTACACTATGCAGCCTTCACTCTGGACTTCTGTAATGACAAGAATACCCATTCATATATCCCTTTTAAACAGATCTCTCCCTCATCTGTTTCAACGAGTAACACATATTTTATAAATGAGACTGTGGCTTGGTTGGATGGATATTTTTTTAATATTCTTACCAAAATATTCCCTGGAATGGTATTTTAATGGTAGATTTATATTTTATATTTGTTGTAGGATTGAATGTCCAGTAATTTATAATTTCGCTGGATATATCTGGATTTATTTTCCATCATGTTATCTTTTGTTGGTATAGAGCTTAACTTTTTTATGACTTACCCCAGCATTTTCAGAATGTCTTAATGAATTGATTTACTATGGAGAATATAATTGGAAAGTAGCTTATAAATAACTGTTTTGTGTAAAATAGAATATCCTTGCCAGCTAATTCTCTTCTAGGGGAGTTTTGGCATCTTAGAAGTAGGGAATTTTGCTGCCAATGCAAAGGTACATGGTTTGAATCCACCAGTTGTTCCACAGGAGAGAGATGAGCAGTCTCCTCTTATGTGCTTTACTGCCTCTGAAAACCTGCTGGAGGGTCAGCTATGTGTCCGTTCTGACTTTATGGTACATAACAAGAACAGTTCTCTTCTGGGTTACATTTTTTTTCAATCTGCTAATGTGAGCACTTACCTTTTTGGACCAAATGAAGGTAAACTCTGATCCACAAAAACTCTTATAAACCAGGTTTGTTGTATCTGTGTAGGTATAGTGTGATATGTGGGTGTAACATCATAGTATGTTTCTTTCTAAAAGGCACAGATGTCTAGTACGATTTTGTTACTGTGGGCTGCCAAAAGTGCTTAGGAAAGGTGGAAAGTGCAACGGGGGCAGATCTATAGATTTGTAAGGCCCTTCTTCCTCTTCTGCATGTCAGTTGTGTTGACATTTTGCAGGTCATTGTAATTTACATCTGTTCCCTTGTTGATGCCAGTGATACTAAGGCCACCTATGGTGAAAGGAGCCTGTTGGTAAGGAGTTGTGCTGCCAACCAAAAGGCACATGGTTCGAATCCACCAGCTGCTCTGAGGGAGAAAGATGGAGAGTCTCCTCCCATGTAGTTTACTGCCTCTGAAAACCTAGTGGAGCGTCAGCTATGAGTTGATTTCTGACTCTGGCAAACAGCAATAACCTATGATGAAATGCTTCTTTGAAAATCTCTCCTTGTCCCCAGGACTGTCCTTTGCTCTTTGATGACATCCTTCTTTTTTCTTGCCATCCGTTTCTCTAAGTGTGCTATCCCTGTTTTCAGAGGCACTGCCCACCATCCTCCCGAGGTGAGAGAGGGTTGTTACTAAGAAGACCTTGGAGGCAGTCACTAGCCCAAAGTCCCCTGAGCTTCTGAGGATGCTCAGGATGGCAGTGAGTCCTGGGGGTTTCAGGGTAGAGAGTACTAATTCTTCCAGCCATTCATTCTGGGTTTCTCTTCATCATCCTTCCTGCAGAGTCCTCTCCTTTGACAAATGTGTTAATTACTTTGACAGTGTTGTTTGAGTTGTAATAAGTACTGTGAAGCTTAACGGATTTGAGTAAGAAACAGAGGCTTAAGATTGAATGTGAAAACCAAAGAGAATTTAACTCAGCTTTCCCCCTACCCTCTTTTCTAGCCACAGACCATGTAATTTCTAATGCCTTAGATCTCAATTCAAGCTGTTCTGAGAAGGACAAAAGCTCTTTCTGTATGTAAGGAGTAATTGCGTACATAGACATCAATTCTCTTTCAGTAAACAGTTGCTTAGTAAGTATCATGGATGCAATGTTTTCAGACTTCCAGGTAAAATCTTGACCTGCCTGGTTGGTCACACAGGTAGATTGAGTGGAAAGGCTGTGTCCGTGCTGGCCAGTCAGAATTTGGTGAGCAGGGACTTCATGCAGAGCTCCAAGGAGGTAGCTTTCAGCATATCAGGACGTGAATGAATGTCTGATGCTATTCTCCTACCCGAGCAAGGCTTGAGAAATGTGTAGTGCTACTGTCACTATCCTTTCAAAGCGATGTCAAGTGAGCATGGCATGCCTTTTCTCTGTGCTAGGACTTAGGCCTTGTGCCCTGTCAGTGCCTCCAGGCTGCCATCGCCAGTCCATCAGAGGGAGATGGTGTCTGTTTGCTGTCTAGATCCCTGGTCCCTAGAAATACAGACTTGAGTATCTGCCCTGATAGTGCTCAGAGCTGAGGAATTAGGTATAACTCTGCCACAATCTCTGACCTTGAGGACTCATAACCTGTGAAAATTTTGACTGTACCCCTCTTAACCAAGGTGTCCATCCCAAAGAGTTTTATGCCAGGTGCATTGGGACCCTCTGGTATGGCCGCTTCTTCACTGTTGGTCTTGTCTGTCTGTTACTTCATGATTTACTAATGACCATCACAAATCAATTTCCTTTCAGATTTGAGCATCTCATTGTGTGGTTTTGGTTATTTTGTGTTGGTTTTTTTTTTCTTTTTAAATAACTATTCTATTGTCCCAATACTTTTAAGTCTTTGTTCTTTATTTTTGTGAAAAGAAAAAAAAATTCCACATGAGGGGGTGACTGTTAGGGGAGAGGCAAGCTGACAGCAGGTGCGTCGATGCCTTTAAAGTTCTACCACAGGAAGTATTAATAAACGTTCCTTAAGACACTAGTGTCAGTGAAAAGTCATTGACTTTGCCTTTATCGTAATTATTAAAGGGGAGCCTTCCATTTTATACACTTTCATACTCTTAGGAGTATTGCATTTTTAATTTTGTTTTGCCAACCTAGAACACTATGTAAAACATAGAAGTTAACACAAATTCACTTTTGCACTGCACATAACCATTTT